TGCCCGTCGCCCTGGTCGGCTGGAGACCAGCAGACCAGGGAGACGGGGAGCAAAGCCGGGGAGCACGCGGGCAGCGGACAGCCCAGACGCGCCACGGTTGTCCCGCTGCCGGCGTCCTCAGAGGCTTTGCTCCCCGTCTCAGCAGACCAGGGAGATGGGCAGCAAACCCCGTTCGTAACTGCGGATCCGACATAAGTCGGATCCGCGTAACTCGGGGACTGCCTGTACTGAAAGTCCCTTTTATTTCAGACTAGCACATTTACCTTAAGGAGGGGCTTAGGGCAGGGTGTTGGGGGTGTGGTGGGTGCAGGAGTCAGAGTTGTGGGGTGAGGAGGGAGTCTGGGTAGGGGATTGTGTGTGTGTGTGTGTTTGTTTGTAGGGGGATGTGTGGGGAAAGTGGGGGTGGCTGCTTGCTCTTCCCTTTCCAGTCCCTGTCAGGGAGCAAGAGAAAAGTACATAGCTTGTCTGCCCCCAGCCAGAGTGAGGAATGCAGCAAACTCTGCACTTTCCCCACACTCCCTGATGAAGGGGAACAGCCAGCAGTGTCCCCATATGAATTTGGGCGTGGGACTTCAGTTCCATCCCCAGAACACCTGGAGTGGGTAGAAAGCTCAGAGCTGGGGCAGCTCCAAATTGGGGTGTGCCCCCCCCCCAGCCAGTCCCTTTCTCCTGCCTGGTGATTCTGTCCCTTTTTTCTGTATGGTGTTTCTGAGAAGCCCAGTCCAGGCACATCCCATTTTCCTGGCACAACCAAACCCTGACCTTGCTTTAACTTGTGTTTTGAGGAAGCTGTATACCAAATGCGGTGGTCCTATCTCTTACCATTTAGGAGGCGTTCTTGAACAAGTGGGCAGACAGACAGACAGACAAACTCTCGAATATATAGTAGTGTGTCCACAGAGGCGGTTATACCAGCATCGTTAGAGCCATTTAATTGTCCCTCGGCAGGTCTGCTGGACAGTTTCCCCCATATTGACTAGCCCTTCCTCAGTTTTCTCTTTTGCTTCCTGAGACGTGCCTTTCAGCCCAGTTCAATCACCAGAGTAGTTTTCTACTTGTTAATCATAACTGACCCTGCTCAAACAGTTGCTTGCTGTATGAAAATAAACAAAACACTTTTTTCTTGGGCTGAACCTGCTGCAGAGTAACATTTTTCATCTGATGCTGAAAAACTCAAATGCCAAGCTTTTCGTTTTAATCCACTTCAAGTGAGTTTGTAATGAAACTGTTGGCAAACCTTTGTTTACAGAGACTCTGGTATGTTCTGTTATACAGTTGCAGTCTCAAGGTCAATGAATAGGCAGCGTAGCGTGCGTGGATGTTTATTCTTTTTGTGTTCTTGACCTTAACTGAAAAATGCAACATATTCAGTACACCAGACTTAGTCTATCTAAACTATATTATTTATTAACCACTATATACTACTTCTGTAGTGCTTTCCATCCAATGCTATGAAAGTATTAACTTCCCTGCAAAATGTGCTAACATCCTCGTTTTACAACAGGGAACACGGAGATTCAGGGCATGTCTCCACTTACCAGAGGATCAATGCTCTGGCGCTCAGTCTTCTAGGGTTCGATTTTGTGGGTCTAGTAAAGACTTGCTAAATCAAATGGCCCATTGGCATCGGTATATTTTGTGGTTGTGAGGAGTAAGTGAAGTCGACAGGAGCATTTCTCCTGTTGACCCCCTGTGCTGACGGTGCCAAGCTCAGCTGAAGGAAGGTACATCGACTCCAGCTATGTTATTTATGTTGCTGGAGTTGTGTATCTTAAGGCAACCTTCCCCTTGCAGTGTAGACTTGGCCTCTGAGAAATGAAGTGACTTGTGCAAGCAGATCAGTGTTCAGCCTGACAGTGTCTGAGAATAAACTAACCAGTGGTATGCTACGTTTGTGCAGGGAGATATTACAATTGTAACAAAAGAAGGAAATGAGCTGTTAAGTAGTTTAGAAGAGCCTGATGCTGACGAACATAGACAGAAACAACACCGCGACAGACCTGGAGACTGGGACACTGTGAATCGGTGAGTGCAACGTGCCACATTTTTTTTATTTGGAATGAGAATTCTCAAGATATTCAGACTAAAATAAGACTTTAAGTGTATTAAGCCATGCATGCTTTTCCACATCAGCAGTGGTCAATACAGGGAAAGATACGATTCTGTCATGGGCTCTCTTCCATCTCCACCACTAACTTGTTTTTGCAAGTGAGTTACCTTGGCCGTGACTCTGTTTTCCCATTGTAAAATGGGAGGAAGTGGCATAGCAGCACTCTGAGGGTATGTCTAGACTACATGGCTCCGTCGACAGAGCCATGTAGATGAGTTTACTAGACATAGGAAAAAGAAGTGGTGATGTAAATAATCGCCACTTCTTTTACATTAAAATGGCCACCACATTGTGCCGATCAGCTGTTTGGCGGCACAGAGGGGCAGTCTGGACTCTCCGCGATTGACAACGGAAGTCTTTGTCGACCGCTCTGGTAAACCTCATTTTACGAGGCATAACTGAGCGGTCGACAAAGGCTTCCATTATCGACTGCAGATCATCCAGACTTCCCCTCTGTGCCGCCAAACAGCTGATCGGCACAATGTGGTGGCCATTTTAATGTAAAAGAAGTGGCGATTATTTACATCACCACTTCTTTTTCCTATGTCTAGTAAACTCATCTACATGGCTCCGTCGATGGAGCCATGTAGTCTAGACATACCCTGAGTGAAAGTCCTGTAGATGTTATAGATAAGATAAAATAGAAATAATTATACCTACCTCACATTGGCCTTAATGATGTCTGTAAGGTTCTTTGAGAGCTGCACGCAATGAGTTAGATATACAACTAATGAGTTATCATTAGAGATGGGACCCGAACGGAAAGATTCAAAACTCCTCTTAAGTTGAGTGGACTCTGACTTTGCTCAGAACTTTGCTGTTTAGTCTCATCTCCCATTGACCAGTACTGGCCAACTCTTTTTTTAGTCCTCTCCTTTTTCATCATTGTTCAGGTTACTTGCTCAGTTGCATGAGATGGAAACCGCTTTTGATGGCTTCTGGGAAAAACACCAGCTAAAAATGGAGCAGTATTTGCAACTATGGAAGTTTGAGCAAAGTTTTCAAGAGGTATGGAAAGACAGATTTTTTCTCTCTACACAGCTGGGTGTAATAAAAAGAGATTGCAGCAACTGTACTATTGTACTGTCAGACACAGGCTTCCATTCAGAATAAATGCACAGAAACCTTTGTAACCCGATGGTGGGAAGAAAAGGCAGTACCACCCAAAACCATAGACACACTGAAAAGCCAAATAGAAGCTGAATCCTATAACCCAAGGGTTCTAAAATGCAGGGGCTAGGGCTTTCATTGGTAGAACTCTCTCTCTCTCTCTGTGTGTGGGTGGGTGGGTGTGGGTGGGTGTGTGTGTGCACGTGCACACCAGAAAGACAAGACAAACTGAAGTAATACTAACTGAGAGAGACTGAGAAAGAGCCAGGACAAGTACAGAAGTATAAGAAGCTAGGGAAGGAGCTTCTGGATCCGTTTTTGATGAAAGAGGACTGGGCTATAAGCAGAGACATATCTCCTTTTGGTTTTAATTCCTTCTACATTTGGAGAAGTAGGATTTTGTACATTCCCTGGTAAACAAACAAGATTGCGTGACAGAAAATACAAGTCTCTCTGGTCAGTGTTGTCTCCAAACTGAGACACGTGCAAGACCCCAATCTTTGCCACTTGAGGCAAAAAGGGTTGATACTGGATAAAACCAAGGCTACAGCCCTGAGCAACATAGTTCTATTGAATTAATCTCCTGTGTAGCTAGCGTTATATCATTGGGAGAGCTGCTCCCACCCACAGATTAACTATGCCAATGGGAGAAAATGCCTCATAAGCGTTGGGGTATCTTCACTTGGTGCAGCATGTTTCCGGGGTAAACCTTCCTTTAGAAAACCACAGCTGATGATTGTCAGGCTTTGGTATGTTTTTCTTGCAGTTTGAGATGTCTCACTTAGAAAGCTTAACAATAACTTAATGAGACCTATGGTTTTAGTGCTGAACCCAAGTTCATGCACTGTGCTACACCCAAGTGGGTTTGGTTGTACTTCCATCTGCTCTCTATGTTCCTCTGTGGTAGCCCAATCTATTCATTCCCCAGCTGATCTCCATGTGTGGTTTTCCATGTTATTTCTGATGCTCTGTGTCACTGTTTGGTGTGAGAACAGTTTTATGCTGATCACTTGTGCCTTTCTGCAATTGTTATCTTCTTATTTTTAGCTCCAGAGAACCATGGAATTTTTAATGGGTCAGCAAGCCGAAGTGCCGGATACTGGAAACAGCGTGTCTGAAGTCAAACAGAGACTCCAAGACTTGGGTAATTTAGATGGAATGGCTCAGGTGAGAGAATCTTTTAAATGATAGCGGTACCCAGGAAACATTATAGGTGCTTTCTGAGCTTGCCAGGACTACGGCTCTGAAACGGCCTCACTCCCTTCTAACTATAAGAGTGCATCTTTCAACTCTATGGAACTTCATTCAGCACACATTGAAAACCTAATGGCCAAGAATTTGGTTATCCTAGCCAAAATAAGTCACGGAACCACCACAAAATCTATCACAAATAAAAAAACCAGGGTGCTGCCCATATTAAAAACCAGGGTGCTGCAGATCTGGGGGAAGAGTTATTTATCTAATAAATGAAATTACTTAATCCCTGTTCCATAGGTGCGCACCATCAAGTGAAGAGGCAAGACAAGTCCCTGTCCTAAAATGTTGGCAAGCAAAGTGGGCAATGTATAGGTGAAGCATAGACGATGTGACAAAGAAGGAGAGGGACAGATGTGGTGAAGTTTGCTGGGAGTCTTACCGATGGCATGCTTTTGGCTTAGTGATCTATGGTATTGGGGGCCCAGCTCCTTTTGGTTCCTTTGCGAATCTCAGTCACTGTTAATACGATTACGTGAAAAGGCCTTGTGCTGATGGGCCAAGAAGGGTGCATTTAAGCGGAAGCTTGAAAGAATAAAATGAGCCATGAATAATGAGGAAGGGTTCCCAGGGTAGAGCCCACAGGGGAGAAGACCCTGGCAGAGATGCTGGGCTTGACTGCCGACAAGGTGGTCAATTCTGCGTTGTCATCAGGAGAATGAGCCAAATCAGCCTGTTAACCACCTTTGAGGGCAGTACTTCTGGAAATGATGGTACAATATCCTAGGCAGCTCTGGCCATGCAGTTGTAGGCCAGCCAGAGTGTTGTGGTGGTGGTTGTTTATTTTCCTCTTGAATGATAAACCCATGAAAAGCTGCCCATCCCAGGTTGCAAGTACCCCATTTTCAGCTGCATGCTGAACTAGGGATGTCATAGTGTGGTCGAATACCCAATTAACCAATGAGCCTGGGCTTATCGGTTTTATCTTATCAATTACCTGCCTCTCCCGCCCCCCACTGCCTGTATATCAGAGGCAGCAAGAGGGGAAGGCAGGAGCTGGTACATGCAGGAAGCCAGCTTTTATGCCAGCTCTCCACGTGTATTGGCTCATGCAAGCCACTTGCCCCCTGCCCCCCAAGCTGCTGCCTCTATATCAGAGTCAGCAGCAAGGGGACGGAGAGGAAAACCCCCTCCGTCACCTGCCCCCTCCTTGCTGCCTCCCACAGAGACAGGGAGGGGGGACTGATAGGAGCCGGTGCAAGGGGGGAGCCACCTGCCCCTCAATGCTGCTTCCTCTGTCAGAGACAGGGTCATAACAAGGGTGGGGCAAGAGGGGCGCTTGCTCTGGGCGCATCGTAATCAGGGGCACAAAGACACGATAAGTAATAATAATAATTACAGAGAGGTAGCCATGTTAGTCTGATCTTGCTAAAACAAAAAAGCAGCCATGCATAAAAACTAACAAGCTTGTTTATTAGGTGATGAGCTTTTGTGGGGCAGACCCACTTCTTCACATCATATTCTGAAAGCGAATTGGCTCTTATATAATATCTGTGATTCCTTGGGATGCCGGTGCAGCCTCTGTCTGCAGGGAGCTCGGGCTGTTTCAGAGGCAGCAATGCGGGATGTCAGGGGGTTTCCCAGGAGTGGGGCTGGGAGTGCACTGGCTGCTGGTCCCACCCCCGGGGACTATCGAATGGTCATGTGACTGGCGATATTTGATGCGATTACATGACTGTTCAATGAATCACTATATAACGTCCCTATGCTGAACATGTCTTTCCTATTTCAAATGGTATGTGTTTTGTAGATGAAATAGAACATACTTAAGAATGGCCATACTGGGTCAGACCAAAGGTCCATCTAGCCCAGTATCCTGTCTGTAGACAGTGGCCAATACCAGATGCCCCAGAGGAAGGGAACACAATAGGTAATCAACATGTGATTCCTGTCCTGTCATCCATTTCCAGACAAACAGAGAGACACCATTCCTACTCGTTCTGGCTAATAGCCATTGATGGACCTAACCTCCATGAATCTATATAGCTCTTTTTTGAACCCTGTTAAAGCCCTAGTCTTCACCACATCCTCTGGCAAGGAGTTCCATGGGTTGACTGTGTGCTGTATGAAGAATAACTTCCTTTTGTTTGCTTTAAACCTGCTACCTATTAATTTCACTTGATGACCCCTTGTTCTTACATTGTTGGACTATGTAAATAACTTTTCCTTATTTCCTTTTTCCACACCAGTCATGATTTTATAGACCTCTATCATAGCCCCCCTTAGTCTCCTATTTCTAAGATGAAAAGTCCAAGTCTTTTTAATCTCTCTTCATAAGGAGCCTGTTCCAAACCTCTAATAATTTTTGTTGCTCTTTTCTGAACCTTTTCCAATGCCAATATATTTTTTTGAGATTAGATGACCATGTCTGTATGGTTTTGTATAGAGGCAATAAGATATTCTCTGTCTTATTCTCTATCCCTTTTTTAATGATTCCTAACATTGTTTTCTTTTTTGACTGTCGCTGCACACTGAGTGGATGTTTTCAGACAACTTTTCACAATGACTCCAAGATCTCTCTCTAGAGTAGTTGTAGCTAAATTAGTCCCCATCATATTGTATGTATAGTTGGGATTATTTTTTCAGGTGAAGTGATTGGGTGCATATTATTGATACACGTTTCATCTTGATGACCTCATCAAAGCAAGTGTGTAATCCCCTCCATTGCTTTTTCTTTCCAAAAGGACCTGACAGGGAAAGCGCAGGTGGTGATACTACACGGGCACCAGCTGGCCGCTAATCATCATTACGCGCTCAGCTTAATCTGCCAGCAATGCAATGAGCTGCGGCACCACTCGGATGTGCTCTCGGAGGAGATCAAGAGGAAGCGCGCGCACCTGCAGATGACCTTAGAGCTGCTCACCCGCTTGCAGCAGGTAACGTTCAGCACGATGATATGCCAGGAGGTGGTACTCCTGCTGACCGGGCGTCCTGTCTACAAGGCACATTGGTGGTGACCTTCTTATATCTGTATAACTTGCACTAGGCCAGTGTGTCTCATAAGGGGTTAACATATCTGCTACCACTGCTAGCTCAGGCAGATGAGGCCTGTGGTTTTAATGTTGGAGATCCTAGGTTTTTGAGCTGGGGTACACCTGAGTGGGTTTGGCTGAACTTCCATCTGTTCTGTATGTTCCTTCGTAGCAACCCCCTTTATTCATTCCCCTGGTGATTGCCCCACATAGTTCTCTGTGTTATGTCACGCTCTCTGTAGTGGCTCCCAAGCAAAAATACCAACTTCAGGGCACAAACCCCAAACAGGTTGAAAATTATGAGCTCAGATTTCACCAACGCGGTAACAAGCGTCGCACTGTATGGCGCTAATGTGGAGTCACAGACTGTCCCCTTGGGCACTCTGATCTATCTTGCCCCACAGGCAAGCTGGACTCTGTGATAAATGGTCACTTTACAACAAAATCACAAAATATTCAGGTTACTCCCAGTCCCAAAGGATCAGTTGTTTACCCCAGTTTGATTTGCACTTTGATCCCACACCAAAGACAACACTTGGACCCAATCCTATAGTGAAGTAGAGATGTGTTAACTAAGAAAAAGAAATAAGAGTTATTTACAAGGTTAGAGCAGGTAAGTACACACACACACAAATGAAAGAGTAAGATTTCCATGGCTAATAGCAACTTCTAAAGCAAGGAGAACTCTGTATATCCTTTAGGGCTAACCCAAACTAAATAGCCAGGGACTCCTTGCTTATGCCTAGAAATCTTCATCTCTGAGATTCAAGCAGCAAAAGAATAATAAATTCTCCTTAACAGGAATTTTTAACCCCTTTCCCCCAGCATTCAAGCAGTGATTGGATGAGGCCTTGTGCACTTCTATTCTTCAGCGATGTTGGGGAAGCATGCTGTGAAGTCTTGATTCCACAGTGGCCACTGAATTGAATAGTCCCTCCTGCTGAGCAGGAGATAACACACCTCTTGCAATGAATGTGTATTTCGTGCTGGGTAATGCTTCTCCCCGACTCTTGGGGTTTACACTCTTAGCAAACATTTTTTATAGTTGCAGAGCAAACATTTCAATATTACCTTATACCATGGAATTATCAGTAGAATGAATGCACACAACATTCTACAGGTGTTTCATAAATTCTGAGCACATTCTTATAACACCGATATCTGTTTTAACTGTACTAGCCCACAAACTGTTTCTCAGCTGTGCATTTTTAAGTGTTCAGTGAATCCTGGAGTGTTGGCATGAGCTGGCACTAGATTTACCAGCATCGCAGTCTATTTACCTGTAGAGCAAACTATGAATCTAGTGGTACTCCTGGTAGAGGAAACTGGTGATCTCGTGTTTTTGTAGATCCATCACCCATACAGAGAATCTAAACCTGTGGGCTGTGTCTACACTGGGTCACTTATTCCGGAAAATCAGCTGCTTTTCCGGAATAAGCTGCGAGCTGTCTACACTGGCCCTTGAATTTCCGGAAAAGCAACGACTCTCTACTGTACAAAATCAGCCGCTATTCCGGAAAAACTATTCTGCTCCCGCTCGGGCATAAGTCCTTATTCCGGAACACTGTTCCGGAAAAGGGCCAGTGTAGACAGCCGAGTAGTCTTTTCCGGAAAAAAGCCCCGATCGCGAAAATGGCGATCGGGGCTCTTTTCCGGAAAAGCGCGTCTACATTGGCCATAGACGCTTTTCCAGAAAAAGGGCTTTTCCAGAAAAGCAGCCTGCCAATGTAGATGCTTCTTTTCCGGAAAAACTGAAAACGGAATAGTATTCCGTTTTAAGCATTTCCGGAAATTCATGCCAGTGTAGACACAGCCATAGTGTTTTCCAGGAATTGTTAGATATCCATAGGCACAAATACTACAGACTGGTCCTGAGGTGGGCATGAGGGTCAACAAATCTGGGCCTTTCCCTGCCAAAATGGGGGCGTTCACGCTAGACTAGTCCTCAAACATTTGCATTTTCAGTAGAGTGGGTCCCAAAGGTGGTAAACTTGGTTCAAAAAGATTTAACTTCATTCCATAAGGTTTGCCCAGGATATTATTGTATCATTCACAGTGGTCTTTCTTGATACTGCTTATTTGTGATTGGCCAACAGTAACTAGTGTCCTTCAGGGCTCAACAGTCATCTCAGATTCCAATAGGAAAGGTGGGCACACACCCTCAATTACATGGGCAGACACAGTGCTCAGCATACAGATATCCCCTCACGCTTATCCAGATGGAAATGCTGCTAACTAGGCCTTGTCTGCACCACAGTTGATACCATATCCTGAGCAGGGATTTGACAGCATTAGCAGGATCAGATGAGAGAGCAAGAGATGCAGAATTGGATGTGGTCTGCCTACTGAAAACAATGTGACTTTTGCTTCCTCCCTAGCCCTTCCGATGATGTCAGAGGCGCATTGAAAAAGGAGGAGACAAAATACAGTTTGGTGGAACCACCACCTGTGTGAGGCTTAGGGCAGCAGTTGCCCAAAATCACACTTTCTAGAGCAGGGGTCTCAAACTCCTGGCCCAGGGGCCATCTCCGGCTGGAGCAGTTGCACAATCCGGCCTAGGAGTCCTGGTGGGCTTGGGAGATGGGGTGGCAGCTGTCCATTTCCATTCCACAAGCCCTACCCCTTCACCCATGGCACCCCAGTTCCTGAGGACATGGCCTCAGGGAGTACTGGGGGGGATGAGGAGGCTGGTGCGGTCCCACTGGCGCTTCCCACGGCAGCGGGAGCTGCAAGGAAGTGGAGTGCAACACAGCGAGCGTGCCTGCCGAGTGCACTCCACTTCTCCCCAGCACCTGCCACCATGGAGAGTGCAGAGGGAGAGGGGCTGACCATTGCTCCCAGCCTGCACCAGCCCTCCACTCCCAGTAATTCCTGAAGCCACGTCCTCGGGGGATGAGATTCCATGAGGGGAAGAGGGCTGCGTGATGGCAGGAAAGGGTGGGATTTGGGAAACAGGAATGGACAAGGTTCCCTCCCTTCCTGGGACTCCCAGGCCAGATTGCACAACTGCTCTGGCAGGAGATGGCCTGTGGGCCAGGAGTTTGAGACCCCTGCTTTTGAGTCCCTGAGAAATAAGAACAGTGCCAAAAGTCACCCCATTTATTCTTGCCGGGTCTCTGCAGCCATAAACTTGAGCTAGTTCAAGTGCCCAGCAGCGCAAAAGCCATGCTCATGGGACACAAGTCTTGTTGGTGCTCTGGCTTGTATTAGCGATGCAACCAAAGCTTTCCTCTGAGGTGTTGACTCACTGCAATAGAGAAGAACGCCTGACGATATACTCTAGGTGGCTGCAGCTCTCTCGCTTTCTTTCAGTAATTTGAGCAGCGTAATTGATTATAAAATAAGATGACGGGTTGGTGGGTAAAAACCACTTCTGTTTGCTTGCATGCAAGTGGAGTCCTGTCACTATAATACTCATTAATATCTTAATTAGCATTGACATTTCAGGGACAGTCATGGAAATTAAGTCAGAAGACCTGACTGAAGTGAACTTAAATCAATGAAGTAGCAAACTTGTGACCATCCATTCTGTCTTAGTATCTTCCACGTGTTTTATCAAGGGAACCTGCGTTTTCTCCATTCACTCCACCTCAATATAGCGCTGATCTGACTGGGCACACAGTTATATAGGAATTGTCAGAGTAGAGCAGTGGCCCCTCTAGTTCAGTATCTTGTTTCAGACAGCGGCCAGTACCAGATTCTTCAGAGAAAGGGCCATGAAGTGGGCATTGTTAAGAGCTTCTTAAAGAAATTCAGGATGATTTCATTGCCTATCCTTAAAAAACCCTATTCTGTTCTTGGTCACCGCAATATCACCTTGTGGCAATGAGTTCCACAGTTTGTTTCTGGTATTTGAGTGGCATGCTTAGAACTTTCAGATGTTATTTATATAATGTTATGTGAGTAAAACTGTAAGCTGCTGGTATTAAATTCCCCATTATAAAAATTAGGGACAGCATGATTTCCGTTATCCATCACAACTCAGACTCTACCTTGAGCTCAGCTTTCTTTCATAGCTTTGTTCATTTACTCTTAACCTTTGCCAGTTAGACACTAAATACATTAATGGCCAATTTTCATGTTGCATTTGCCACATGTACTCTCAGAGCAAGATAAATAATACAGGAAAAGCTATGTCCAAATTCTACTTTTATTAATTCTTTACCAGGGATGTTGCACCAGGCTAGCTGAGAACAGAATTTGGCTGGCAATGTTAGGAATTTAGTCATTCTCTAGAAGTTTAAGGCCCTGCTTCCTATGATCAAAATGCAAGATAGCTGATTAGTCTTCCAATAAAGCTAATGAGCTTTTTGTTTGTCTCCAAATTTAATAGAAGATTTAGTGAATGCTAAGTGAATGAGTGATAAATACTTTTCATTTATACTCTGAGTAACTGGTGGTTTCAGCTCATTGATCTGTTTGTTCTTCATTTATGTTACACTTTCATTAGGCCCTCGAGTGCTGTGATGAAGGGGCGTATGTCTTAGCTAATCAGCCAATGGATAAATGCCAATCTAAAGAAGGTGCTCAGAAAGCACTTCAGGAAATAGATACATTTCTTGAAAGTTCTTCGCCGTACTTAAACTATGACCCCCAAGTCTTGTGCTATGACTTTGAATCCGTTTTAACACCTGAAATCAAGGTAAGCATCCCTTGCTGTCCTCTTTGTAAAAGTAAGAGTACAATTACAACATGGCTGCCATGTTGTCAGCCTTTGTATTGTCTCTGTTTCCAGGACAAAAGTGCCAAATTGTTAATTGGCTCACAGTTGTCTTATTTGCACTCCTCAGGCTCAGATACAGTCAATCCAGATCAAGCTTGAAAACGTTCGCAGTATGTTTGAGAATCGGCAAAGTTGCTTCAGAAAGCTTGTGGATAAACAAGCGCGGCCTGTCCAGTTAGTAGCCCCTCGACCAGAAACCCCACCAAGATCAAAATCTCCATTATTCTCTCCCAAACACGGTAAAATCTTTTTAAGCATATGGCATCTTAAAATGTTCAGCTTTGTTAATTTTGTTCTGAGCTATGAAAGAATAAATCGAAGGATAGTTTTGAAAAATAAACCAGAATTTACTGGTTGATGTAAAATTACTATATCAGTTTTAAATGCTTAGGAGATTTTTTACTTCTCAAGTAGGGATGTAAAATTTTGATTAATTAGCTAATCGAATAGTTGATGCGCTTTGAAAAGCAGGCCCCGGGTTGCACATGGTGTTTCAAAGTGGCAGACCGCAGGCTCCACAGGACTCTGCCTTTGAAACTCCCATGTGCTTCCTGGGCCAGCTGGGACCCCAAGCTGCACGTGGCATTTCAAAGCAGCAGCGCCGCATGGAGCCCAGGGTTGCGGCGCTGCCACTTTGAAGCGTCCTCTCCTCTTTCCCCCTACCCTTGCTGCCTCTTTCTGATGGAGGTAGCAAGTGGGGCAGGGGGGGAAGTGACTAGTCTACTAGCATTTCAACTATCCAATAAGCATTGGCTTATTGGATAGTAGACTAGTTGTTCACATTCCTACTCTCAAATTTTGGGGTGGAGTCTCTGGTTACAGGGTAAGTATTGTGTGTTTGAAAGTCCCCCACATGGTGCATAGGTGGGACAGAAATCCCTGCCATATTCGTGTTGGTCTCGGCTAATATGTGTGGAACATTTTAGCAACATAGTTATCAGGAGAGCTGGGAGAGCTTGAAAACTCTTGAGTTCTTTGAAGTTGTGGAGTTCTGAAGTTTCCTACAGTTCTTATTTCTCAAGAACTGGTTGCTTGAGAATGGGTATAATGTTGTCTCTAAGTTCATTTTTGAGGCTCAAACTGGTTTGGCTGGGATTGGTCACATGGTATTGATCCTGGAACAGAGAATACACATTTCCACACTGTCCCACCAGGTGGACTGGAAGTGAAATTAGGATTATGTGGGATAAGGACAAGAAGCTAATAAAAGATATAAACGTATTTATTTTCTGTATCAGGAAGTCAGTTGTTAATCTCATCAATATACATAGAGCTGCAACTGACATGGATTTTGCTGACACTTTGCCAGAGCCTATGGAAATGAATCACTCAGATCTCTCTGACATTGAAAATCAGTAGAGCTCTTAACTTCCTTAGACTAGCTGCAAAATTCTCCTCTTATACCCTTATTTTATGAAACAACAGATGTTCCTAAAAAGCCAAATCCTGGCAAATAAAAGTCCACGGATGATCTGCCCAGGACAATATTTGGCCTGATGTTAGCTTAAATAAGGAAATTGAAGTGTTCTTCCTTAACAAGCATTTGTGTGTCAAAATAAATACGCTGTCCAAGGGAATGTTCCATGGCTTGAAAATATAAGGCAGTTACTCATTTGTGATCGACATGAGGATCACTCCACTTAGTGTAAACGTAACATGCCTCAAGAGGCACGTGACCAGAATTCGTTGCTGAATTTGGTCTGCTGATTGGATCATTAGCGTCACTGGCCCAGGCCAGGTACTGAATGGGAGTGGGATGTGAACTCTAATCCGGCTGTTAATTTATGATGGTATTAGGAATGTTATAGCAATACCTTAGAGTAGGGATGAGAGAGGCCACCCGGTTAACCAGCATCACCCTAAACAGGTAATGCTTACTGGATCCGGATAACTGGTAACCAATGGGGACTGGTCAGCTCCCCGTCTGCCATTGGCAGGGGCTTCTCCAGCCCGGCAGGGGGCTCGCTGCAGACAAGGGCTGTTTTGGCACAAACTCTGTGCAGTTTGCACCCCAGAGACCTGCCTGGGGTAAAAATAAACAAAAAGTTTATGTAGTAGAAAAATCAAAGATGAAACAGCAAGGGAAGCACACACATAGAAGTTACACGGACAGCAATCATAAAGATGCATCTTCAGGATGCCCCCTTTCACAGGAGAAAAAAATCCCTTTTCTAATGCAATTTACCTATTGCTTTTGATGTTTCTCTGCATACTTCCTAATTGGAAGCGGGGGAGAGGAAGGTGTCCAGAGCTCACAGACAGCTTGCTGCTTAGATGTTATCCCTCAATTCCTGGATTGGTTTATCCCTCAATTCCTGGATAGATTTTTCTTGGGGGGGGGGGGGGGGGGGGGGGGGGGGTTTT